CCCCCCCCCCCCCCCCCCCCCGGCCTCTTCAAACTGTGTCTTTGACTCTCCATAACCGAGGAAAATGTTCTTTGTCTGCATTCGCATTGCACGTCAGCTGGAAAACGATCGAGACCTCCATAGTAACATTCGAGGATTTTCCCAATGAAGAAATACGAGATATCCAAGACAGATGCACACAGCATACCCATGTGCAACTATTAAGCTCCATTTTTTACATTTTTTTTTCCATCCATAAAGCTTGATTTGTGAAACGATAAATTCTGGGAAAACTGGAGCATTTGTGAATTGAATCTCGTGGATAACGAAAAATAAATAAAACATGTTGTTTGGATTTTTGTTTGTAGAATTGAGAAGCTACTGACTGTTGGAAATTCAACGAACCAACAATTGGCAACGTGGACGGGCGCCGGCAATGCACTGGTGTACGTCAATCAGAACAACATATACTACAGGCCAGAGGCGGAAAGAGCGATCGATTATCAGATTACCACAAGCGGTGTTTTCGGAAGTATTTACAACGCCGTACCAGACTGGGTTTACGAGGGTGAGTCGATGCCCCTTTTGCGTATATTGTTGTTCATCCCCCACTTGGTGTCGTTGGCCCATTGCTGGGTGGTGGGAGATAATGTCCTGCGGCGGGGACACCTAACTATTCCTCTTTTCCAAATCTCTGGAGGTTTATGGGGTGTTTCATAAACTAATCCGATGTTTTATCAGAACGTAAAATGCTTTTTGTAGTTTTTTGGTTATCATACCATTATTTTAGTCCTGGGGAAAGGGTATGTAGTTTTGTTCTTTCGGTTTTTAGTAGTGGAACTGTTTTCATTTTATTACACTGAGAAAAAAACGTTTACCATGGCATTATTTTCTTGAGAGAGGAATTTTTTTTAAGGAGCGCCCCAACTATTATATTATGTTGAATTGTGCAATATTACGCTAAATATGATCTGGAATGAACTCCATTGACAATTATTGACATTTAATTATATATATTTTTTTTTTCTTCTCGTATACCCTTTCGGGTCTTTACGATTTGTTCCCTTCTCACCCCCCAACCCCCTGTACCGCATTCGCCGAAGGACAAGGGAAAACCTCATTTGAGGGAAAAGCCTGCCCAGGTACAGTCGTCTCTTGTGAGACTCCCGCTCGACAATGAAACCGTGAGATTTAGAGTGTCACAAATTTAGGCCCCCCCAGCCAGGAATCGAACCCGGGTCTCCCGCATGCCAATCCCACACTTTAACCACACAGCCACCGCCGTCGGTCTCATTTATTTATAATATTTAGTAATATTAGGACCTGCAACATAATTGTGAGACTGAAGATAGACATGGACCACTTGCAAATGGCTGACCTGGAGAAATTGGCTCTTAACAAAATAAATTTGTCTCCTAAGAAAATGATTCCTTGGCAAAAGTATTTTTTTTTAGTGTGCGGGAGATTTTTTTGAAGGAAGGAACGCGGAATGACGCATTTGAATTAAATAAAAGTCTTCATTTTTAATTTTTCTATTCATTTTGATGAAAATATTCCGATTATATATCAATAATTAAGTTCTAATTGATAAAGTCTTTCTTCAAATCACGAAAACAGTTATTTACTTCTAGAAAGTATCTATTTGACGTCAATAAAACCACAAATAAAAGTCAAGTTCAAGATTCAATGAAAACTTTATGAAGAGATATTACAAATTAAGTCTCTTGAATTAAAATATGTTATTTCATTCAATCACTTCCAACAAATTGGAGAATCGACTGAATGATGAACTCAATTAGTCATCGTGACATTCAGTGATTAGAATGGACAAATCATACCATAAACAGAAAGTACAGAAATAAAAAAATGAGCGAATGGTGTTTGTGGTATTGGTAAACCACGGAAATTCTCGATTCAAAGAAGTGATTGTGGACCTTTTCCAAACAGTATGTGAACGGTATATTGAATCAAAGAAAGTTTAATATCGTGAAAGCTAAATGGAGCTGAATGGATTTCATTATTCGCTCTTGGTTTACTGGATCCCGTAAATTGAAATGTTGGATATTTTAAATTATTCTATTCACTGTAAGTCTGAAGAAAAACATTGGGGAAAAGTGGAGAAAAAAGGAGATGAAATATTAACTGGATTTATGAGGCATGGGAGTATTTCACGGGGAGTTTTTGGTTGAAAAAATAGTCCTTTTTATGAGAACAATTACGTTCTCTCGCTGGAAATGAAGTTTGAAGAAATCCCGGCATTGAAAAATCATGTAGTCCATTGATTTCTGCGTCATCTGATCAGAAAGTAGATGAAAGCTGTGAATTTCAGTTCAATTATTCCGTGAAAATTCGAAATAATCTGCAAAATTTGAGTGAATATTGAAAATTCAGATCATTTTGGTTCTTAATATTCCTGCTCCATGAAATTAAGTTGAATTAAGTTCAGGAATTTACTTCTAAATTCTAGTAAAACTCACAAATTCTCTCGAACTCTACATAAAATTTGAAATTTCATAACCATTTTTCCCTTAAATCGGATTCAATATCCACCAATGAATATTTTTGGCTAAAATTCCCGGTACACTTCTAGGGAATTTCTATAACATTATAATTCTACAATCTTAAAAATTCAAGGAATTTCTTCATTGAAAATTCAAAGTTTTATGGCAAAATTTCTGCGGATGTCTAGGGTAGCTGATGGTCCATGTACTGCTCACCCAAGGGAAATGAGTCTTTTTTCCAGCCTCCCACTCTACAAGGAGTCATAAACGGTTAGAATGGGTTCTTCGAGGTGTTCACTCGAAGATGTGAAGAGAAATAGAAACCCTGGGCGGTATTACCCGCAAACTCTGGGCGGAATTACCCACAAACGCGGAGACTGCTAAAATAGCCAATAATAACTGATGAAGATTCTTTTCTGCTATCGAAAAAGTCGCAATGGATGTGGAAATGTATAACGAACATATATTTCGCACTCCATTCAATTATGGCCCGACTGAAAATTTGAAAAATCTTAAACTCTGAAGTCGAAATATTTTAAGAATCCAGTAGGAAATGATTTGGATTTTTTAAACGATTTTTCCACGGACGAAAATTGCAAATTTCTGTTAAAATTACTTGTTGTTATCAAATATTTGCACGATAAAAAAAAATTCTAAGCTAAACCTGAGAAATCCGGGCGGGCGGTGTTACCCGCTGGGCGGTAGAGGCACCAGTTACCCTATAAAAATTTTATATCAATATCAGAAAAATTCATACGCTGCCCAATAAAATTTGCCGCACCAACACCGGAATTTCCTTCTAGCTGGCACTTTGCCCCCCTTTTCGCGTGCTAGCGCTAGAATTTTTCTCGAGAATTTCTCCTCGTGTAACAATGTAGCAATGAAATTCAGCGTCTCATCTTCCTCTCACCCACAATAATCTCCGCCTTCACCTCAAAACGTCATCATTCCCCTCTACCCTCGGACGAACATTTTTTCCAACTGTCTATTTACCACGACAGTGCAATATCTCGGAGCTCAGCATACGGAAATTTTCGCGAAGTGATACAAACGTACACAACGAGCGGGCACGGGTGCACAAACCCAACCACACCGACTGTTTATTCTCGTGTGAATGTGTCGTGTTGTAATACCCGAGGTTCTCGCGGTACGTCGAAATCCCGTCGTGGCAATAATTCACGTGCTTTGCGTTTTGCGGGAGTTTTGAAGGGGATACAAGGTGCGAGTGGTTGAGGGACGAGTGGAAGGGAAAACAGCGCCCGTATGACATTACACGTTATGCGTTCGTATATTAACTTTCGTCAGTTTCACGTCCATTTTCTTCGCAAAGCCAAATCCGCTGTGCCATTTGTTTTACTTTTCGCTTCTACCTATAAATACACACTGTACCAAAATATATGGTGAGATGATGGAAAAGTTCTCGGTGTATTTAATAACACACGTGCTCTATTCCCAACGCGATCGTCACGGTTTTCTTGTATTGAAAATAATTTCGCTGGGAGACGACGTCGCAGCAAAAACTCATGTCCGAATTCCAGATATTTTTGTAGATATTGCAGTAGCGAAATGGTTTAACGCATTGAATAGCCCAAGTCACGGAATGTATTGGTGTGAGAAGAGTAGGGAGGCCCCTGATGTATTAGTGCACTGATAGACTGATTCATTAAAAACTAAACGAGAACGATTTCTCAGGATTAGCTCAGAATTTTTTTTTATCGTGCAAATATTTGATAACAACAAGTAATTTCAACAGAACTTTGCAATTTTCGTCCGTGGAAAAATCGTTTAAAAAATCCGAATCATTTCCTACCGGATTCTTGAAACATTTCGACCCCAGAATTTAAGATTTTTCAAATTTTCAGTCGGGCCATAATTGAATGGAGTGCGAAATATATGTTCGTTATACATGTCTCGTTTGGAATACCAAACGAGATTGGTTAACAATTAATGAATGGTAGAGTTGAATATGACCAAATGAATATTCGTTAATAGAATTCCCAGGGAACAATCTTTACAGATGCCATCTAAATCCCCTTGAAAAGCGCCATGATTCCGTATTTTAGTACCATGATGCTGGAATCCAGAAACTTTTTCTCTGTAGAATTATCTTAACATTTCCGACAACTTGGGTATTTGGGAATTTGTAGAATTGTGCTTTCATTTAATTAAAAAATAAGAAGGAAATCTTCCCTCTTCTTCTTCATTCGTTTTACTTTCTTCTTCCATCTAAAATGCTTGCATTTTCGACGTTGAGTTTGGAATTGTTCTTGATGTATTCCTGATGGTGAAATGGAGGCACAAGAGTAACGCCCACTGCGGCTACAAAGCGAAATTTATCGTGGGAATATGGCGCGAGTGGAGTATACTGGAAATGCATTTTAGATATTTGGATCAAAAATTGAGGACGACATGAAATGTAACTGGGAATAAAACAAGTAGATGTTCACGATTTTCTTTGGAATATTCATCGCCCTGTCGGTAGTAAAATCTGCTGATGATCGCGGTGTTGTTGTCTGGGGAAAGCCATTGAGAGAGGTAATGTAATGTGATGGTGCCCCTGGTGCGTGGTGTCTGCCTCGTGTTGACTGTGGACTATTTTCGGTGCTCACCGGGTAAATACGGAAAAGTTTCTCGTTGTCCGGGCAGACGTGTTTATGCTATGTCCACTAATATTTGTGTATGTGATTCTCCATTCCAATATTAGCATGACATGTCATGGATATGAATTCAACGAAAGCTTAATATACTATCTCATTCATTAAAGAATTTTCCTGACAATTGTAATCCTATATTGGGAATAGCATAAAGAGATTTAATTATTGGAGAATGCAGCTTGATTTTGAAATTCTCGTTCTGTAAATAAGATGTTTCTGTAATTACGTTCAAAATAATAGAAGAGTTTGCATATTACTTTATGTGAGTTTCATACGAAACTGTCTGCAACTCAATATGAACTTAATTCCATTCGAATGTTCTTCGTTTAAGAATTCAAATGTTCTTAACTGAAAAAGCCGATTATTCTTGTTACTAGAAGATTTATCATTATGTGGATTTTCCTTCTGAAATT